TTTCCTAATATCCAATCTGAACCTGCCCTGGCACAACCTAAGGCTGTTTCCTCTTGTCCCATCACTTGTGACTTGAGAAAGAGACCGACTCCCACCTCTCTACACCCTCCTTTCAGGGAGTCGTAGAGAGCGAGGAGGTCTCCCCTCAGCCTCCTTTTCTCTAAAAGTGCATAAAATCCTTCTATTCAACAATATTAAAGGCTGATGACAGATTCTTTTAAAAAAAAAAACAAAGCAAAAATCAAATCATCAGATTGCTGTCTATAACTAAAAGAAAATATAAAGAAAACAAAACAGGAACAGTCACATATGTCATACAGAGGATAACTATAAAAAAAGCTGTTAAGAATTAAAAACCCACAAGTACGTGACCTGAAACCAAACCTAACCTCACACTTTCTGCTATAACTTTAAAAAAAGAAAAAGGCAACAGAAGAGATCTCCATGAAGACATGTTCTTGACCACAGTTCTAATGTAAACTGATTTAAATCAAGCAGGCCAACTGTTTTGTATATTATGTGAAATAATTATGGACTTCCTCTGAGTTCTCTCTTTCATGAGCCCAGACTGCAAGCTAGGGCTTCTTGGGATACATAAGAATTTTAATACATAAGAAAGAGCCATAAATCAGCCTGAAAAGTTACCGGAATTGTCTTTAGGACAAAAGAAGCAAATAATCTAGTGCAGCATGAATTCAATATTTCTGCTCGTGATCCTTACAGCAAGAAATACACTGGGAGATGCAGAACCAGAAGGAAATGATTTACAGTAGCCTAAGATATCAGCCTTGAGTATCACACAGGTTTTGTAACTTTGGTTTTCCCCATGCCTTGGGCTCATTGCCAATATCAATCAAAAAAACATTGGAGGCGCATATATTAATACAGGTTTGCTGCCCAGACTACCTATATAAATTATAAACTATGACAATGACTTTCCAGAGAGAAATGATCAAGCACTACTTTGCCCTGATCCTTTAGATTTATTTTTCCTTTTCATACTGAACCTGAATTGCTCCCCAAATTTTTGGAAAGATTGAATAAGTAAGCTCAAAATACAGAAATCATTCTGGGTCCTGATTTTCTCTCTATTTCACTTGGTTTCACATGCTGTAGCTTTGCTTGCCTCAGCTGAGCTACAGCTCTGTAATGAGATGGATCCTGTGGTACTGGTTGCTGATAAATTGACCTAGAACCACTTATTTATATAAATGATTTTAAATTGCTATTCGTAAGAGAAAATGGGCTTGTCTCATTGATGAAATTCCTTATTTAATTTCCATCTTTTTGACATACAGAAAACTCCTAGTATGTTCTGAGATACCCAGGGGGACTAATAGGCAGGAAAACCTGCTACAGATGTTCTCTGGGAGAGTTTTCATAAAGATATGATATTGTTGACCCAGCTCCCATGTTCAGCTCTATATAACTGAAGTCTCTGAAAGAGCTTTCAGAAGTTAGAACAGTGTGGACAGTTGATTATTTCTATTTCACAGAATGGTTAAGGTTGGAAGGGTCATCTGGTCCAAACCCCCTCCTCAAGTAGGGTCACCTACAGCTGGTTGCCCAGGACCATGCTTTTGAATAGCTTCAAGGATGGAGACTCCATAACCTCTCTCTGCAACCTATGCCGGTGCTCAGTCACCATCCCAGTGAAAAAGTGTTTCCTTGTGTTCAGAGAGAATCTCCCATTTGTGTGCATTAGTTCTTGTCTTGTCAGTGGATACTACTGAAAAATGCCTGGCTCCATCTTCTTTACAAGTTCCTTTCAGATATTTGTCCAGATCGATGAAATTCTCTTCTCCAGGCTAAATGGTCCCACCTCTCTTGGCCATCCCTCATGGAAGAGATGTTCCAGTTCCTTAATCACCTTAGTGGCCCTTTGTTGGACTGTTTCCAGTCTTGTAATGCAGCCCAGGATGTTGTTAGCTGCCTTTACAGCAAGGGCATATCACTGGCTCATGTTCAACTTTGTGTCCACCAGGACCCCCAGGCTCTTTTCTGCAAAGCTGCTTTCCAGCCAGGCAGCTATCAGAATATAGATTCTGACATATAGTCAGAATATATGTTGTTTCTCCCCACGTACAGGACTTTGCACTTGCCTTTGTTGAACTCCATGAAGTTCCATTCAGCCTATTGCTCCAGCCTGTTGAGGTCCTTCTGGATGGCAGCACGACCCTCTGGCATATCAGCCACCTCTCCCAGTTTTGTGTCACCAGGGTACATTGTGCCCCATCATCCAGATCATTAATGAAGATGTTAAACAGAACTGGACCCAGTACTGACCTCTGTGAAACTAACAATTTATACCAACAAAGTTTTTGTATGTTTTAAGTCAAAACCAAAAAAGATCTACTGCATAGAATTAAATGCAGTAATAAATAAAACACTTGACTGGTATGATGACCATTGCACAGATCGTGAAACTAACAATTTATACCAACAAAGTTTTTGTATGTTTTAAGTCAAAACCAAAAAAGATGTCATTGAATTAAATGCAGTAATAAATAAAACACTCGACTGGTATGATGATCATTGCACAGATAGCTGCTTTTGAGCCTTTCAATGCCTTTCAGCATTAGAGATTTTGTCTGTGGTTTTCATTAGGTAGGATTTGAGAGACTAAAACATGCATGAAATTCACATCTTAGAATACATTGTGAGAAACAAGAGGATGGAAAAGATTTAAGATGGGTTTAAGTGCTCAGCATGAAAGGAAATGAAGTTTCAGGGTTATCTACAGGTTTTGGTAGACAGTTACTGATTCTTCTACATTCTGCTAAAACACTGCAATAACATTCAATTTCACTTTGTACTATGTTCTTTTTAAAGTTGCATAGTCAAAAACAGTAAGTCCAAATAACAGTTCTAAAGACCACTATGGGTTTTTCACGGATATCTTTTGAGAGGAGACAATAAATTTGGGATTCTGTTTAAAAATGAGAGGAGACAATAAATTTGGGATTCTGTTTTAAAATGTGATTTGACACGTACCTGACCTGTTGAAATAAACCAGAATTCTCCTCAACTGCAATTTTCATAAGGTAGAGAAATAGAATAGTTCTGGCTGAGATGGATTGGGAGCATCAGACTAGAAGCCTTTTCCATCAGAAATTAATATAATCTGCAGAAGGAAATGTGAGAAAATTTCAGCAATAGAAAACAAGTACTAATGGCTAGCATGAAAGGAAAGGAGAATCTAAGAAAAAGACTGGAGAAAATCTGTCAACAATTTTAAAAACTGGTTTGCAGACCATAGCAAAATGTTCTAGGAGAAATGAAAAACAGTCCAAATTTTAAAGGGCCCTGTAGAGCTTTAAATAGCAGAATCCATAGATAACAGAAGTAATGACAGAATGAATGAACAGTTCTATAGACAGACAGAAGATGGAACTAGGACAAAGGGATAAAAGGTGGTTCCTGTCACATTTCAGAAAGTACATTTTATTCTTGTCTTTTTAGTTCTAATACAAAAATAACCATGACTGTTAACTATGCTTGGTCAAGTAAGCGAAGTATTAGAGTTGAAGAGAGACAGGAAAGTGTCTATAAAAAGCTCTATCTTCTTTCAAGAACTATAGCTTGAACTATGCTAAAATATTTTGTAATAATCTGAATAATGTAAAAGCTGCACCTTTAAATTGACAAATTTTAAGCTCTCAAAGACAGAGGGAAACTATCCAGATGAATGAGGTGTCATTTTTCCTTTGAGTGCAGCTGCCCATCAGAAAATTAGACTAAAGCTTGCATAGTACTCATTTCTACTTTTACTGAAAAAGGATGGAGACTCCATAACCTCTCTCTGCAACCTATGCCGGTGCTCAGTCACCATCCCAGTGAAAAAGTGTTTCCTTGTGTTCAGAGAGAATCTCCCATTTGTGTGCATTAGTTCTTGTCTTGTCAGTGGATACTACTGAAAAATGCCTGGCTCCATCTTCTTTACAAGTTCCTTTCAGATATTTGTCCAGATCGATGAAATTCTCTTCTCCAGGCTAAATGGTCCCACCTCTCTTGGCCATCCCTCATGGAAGAGATGTTCCAGTTCCTTAATCACCTTAGTGGCCCTTTGTTGGACTGTTTCCAGTCTTGTAATGCAGCCCAGGATGTTGTTAGCTGCCTTTACAGCAAGGGCATATCACTGGCTCATGTTCAACTTTGTGTCCACCAGGACCCCCAGGCTCTTTTCTGCAAAGCTGCTTTCCAGCCAGGCAGCTATCAGAATATAGATTCTGACATATAGTCAGAATATATGTTGTTTCTCCCCACGTACAGGACTTTGCACTTGCCTTTGTTGAACTCCATGAAGTTCCATTCAGCCTATTGCTCCAGCCTGTTGAGGTCCTTCTGGATGGCAGCACGACCCTCTGGCATATCAGCCACCTCTCCCAGTTTTGTGTCACCAGGGTACATTGTGCCCCATCAACCAGATCATTAATGAAGATGTTAAACAGAACTGGACCCAGTACTGACCTCTGTGAAACTAACAATTTATACCAACAAAGTTTTTGTATGTTTTAAGTCAAAACCAAAAAAGATCTACTGCATAGAATTAAATGCAGTAATAAATAAAACACTTGACTGGTATGATGACCATTGCACAGATCGCTGCTTTTGAGCCTTTCAATGCCTTTCAGCATTAGAGATTTCGTCTGTGGTTTTCATTAGGTAGGATTTGAGAGACTAAAACATGCATGAAATTCACATCTTAGAATACATTGTGAGAGACAAGAGGATGGAAAAGATTTAAGATGGGTTTAAGTGCTCAGCATGAAAGGAAATGAAGTTTCAGGGTTATCTACAGGTTTTGGTAGACAGTTACTGATTCTTCTACATTCTGCTAAAACACTGCAATAACATTCAATTTCACTTTGTACTATGTTCTTCTTAAAGTTGCATAATCAAAACCAGTAAGTCCAAATAACAGTTCTAAAGACCGCTATGGGTTTTCACGGATATCTTTTGAGAGGAGACAATAAATTTGGGATTCTGTTTAAAAATGTACCTGACCTGTTGAAATAAACCAGAATTCTCCTCAACTGCAATTTTCATAAGGTAGAGAAATATAATAGTTCTGGCTGAGATGGATTGGGAGCATCAGACTAGAAGCCTTTTCCATCAGAAATTAATATAATCTGCAGAAGGAAATGTGAGAAAATTTCAGCAATAGAAAACAAGTACTAATGGCTAGCATGAAAGGAGAGGAGAACCTAAGAAAGAGACTGGAGAAAATCTGTCAACAATTTTAAAAACTGGTTTGCAGACCATAGCAAAATGTTCTAGGAGAAATGAAAAACAGTCCAAATTTTAAAGGGCCCTGTAGAGCTTTAAATAGCAGAATCCATAGATAACAGAAGTAATGACAGAATGAATGAACAGTTCTATAGACAGACAGAAGATGGAACTAGGACAAAGGGATAAAAGGTGGTTCCTGTCACATTTCAGAAAGTACATTTTATTCTTGTCCTTTTAGTTCTAATACAAAAATAACCATGACTGTTAACTATGCTTGGTCAAGTAAGCGAAGTATTAGAGTTGAAGAGAGACAGGAAAGTGTCTATAAAAAGCTCTACCTTCTTTCAAGAACTATAGCCTGAACTACTCTAAAATATTTTGTAATAATCTGAATAGTGTACAAGCTGCACCTTTAAATTGACAAATTTTAAGCTCTCAAAGACAGAGGGAAACTATCCAGATGAATGAGGTGTCATTTTTCCTTTGAGTGCAGCTGCCCATCAGAAAATTAGACTAAAGCTTGCATAGTACTCATTTCTACTTTTACTGAAAATAAAGGCAATGATCATATAAGGAAAAAAGGAATACATTTTAAATATGTTATATCAGGGAGTAATCAAAGGAAGACCATTTAAAGAATCGGATTTGTTTGTACTGTAAATAAAGGCAATGATCATATAAGGAAAAAAAATACATTTTAAACATGTTAAATCAGGAAGTGATCAAAGGAAGTCCATTTAAAGAATCAGATTTGTTTGTACTACAAATGATATTAAAGATGCTAATTTGTGTTTCCAGGCTCCCAGAAGCTTATGATTTTGGGATTCAAACCAACATTTGAAACCAAACCTAGTTGTGTCGAACTTTCAGTCGATTTAGGTTTTGAATAATTTCCTGAAATTTTCTCGTGTTTCCAACATCAATAGTCATTGACATGAATAAAAAGTTAGGTGTGCACACTTGCTGGGCAACTCTCTACATTGTACACAACCCCAAAGAACACTGCATCAGCGTGCATTAGGGACATGTTTAATTAAGCACACAGGTTATGGAAATTTTCTATAGAGCCCTCATGTATGTCAAATGCCTGACTGATTTTCTAACTCTTCACACAACAACAGCACAACAGGGACTGGAGTACAGCTTAAAAGCAAATTAGCACATTTTGGCATTTACTGCTTTTAGTCATTTCTTCCTATTTGGCTCGTGGATGTCAAATTCAGTTTTGATTTTCTTGGTTCAAATCAGAAAATTACTCAGTAAAGAAAGGTATTTTCTACTCTTTCTCAATGTGTGGAAGGTGCATACCTGCTGTGCTTCATGCAAAGTATGAGTCCAGTGGACTTGATCACCCAGGAATAAAATGTCACTGTTCAAAACCAGCTTGAGAGCAATAGCTAAAAAAACTTTGTCCTACTGCTTTCTGCACAGCATTGACTCTTCTCTGTCATGAAGGTAGGTATGAAGTAATAGCAATTTTGTGTATTTTCATGGTTAACAGATGACCTTCAAAAAGACACTAGCATTCTTCAAGATGAGATGCACAAGACTGACTATTCTGAAAAATTTTAAAACTCCATTTTCTAGTGACCTCCACAAACACCAACAAATTCTGAGTAAGGCTGGCAGACACAGAATGGTGTTCTGTTATCCTCAGAACTTCAATGCTCCCACTTCTTTCAAGCAAAGTAAGTGCTAACAGCAAATTAATTAGATGATTTATGTCCATCAGGATGACAGTAAACATGGCAATGGTATTTATTCTTGTAACAGTAGCTATGGTGTAAACTAATAGTGTATAGATATCCTGCTAATGTAAGATTATCAAGAGATAAAAACAACTGCAGTTGCAAATTCTCTCTGTAAGGACTATTCAGCTGGAATATGTTTTACTTTAGAGGCTTTTTGGTATTTATTACAGAGCTTATAAAAGTAACCCAATTGTAATAAAGATTCATAAACTAACTGCAGGTTTCAAATTGCATAATTGCTTTAAATCACTTTAAAAAGGATTTTCTTTTCCAGAATCCTACTTTGAACACAAAATGTTAGTCCAACATGGATGAGGTATCTATTTATAACCAAGTGTTTGTGTGTAATGGTCAAATGCAAAAAAGAGAAATTGAATGTTTATTTTAGTCTTGATTTTCATCCAATACTTTGTGTAACTTATCCTGAAGTTCTAATTATATCCCCCTATATTAGCTCTGCAAATATGAAAACTGAGAGAAAAGTCTACTTTCTAGAGCTTTTTTCCTCTTCTTTTTCCAAAGTAAAGAGATGCTTGTGGTCAAGTTACTTAATGAAAAGAATTCAGTGTGTCACTGATCATCTCAACAAAGAAAACATGTCCATTTACAGTATTGTTTAACTATTTCTGTAGTTGGTGACCACATTAAATGAGTATTTGGATGGGAACATGCCAGCTGAATAAAAACAACCTTCATGGGTGCCAAACATTAGCTATTTCTACAAAATTAGCTAAAAGCATGCAAAAGCAATGTGCAAGATTATACACACCTACTATAACCACTGGCCTCTTAGGCAGCATGTGTAGTCTATAGCTGATGTGATTTTGTTTAAGCAAGCAATGTCAAGAAAATACACCAGGAGTTATTACCAGCCCATTATGTCATCGTCCAAGCTTAGAGTGAACCACAGCCATATATATGTATTACAGCCCAGCAGCAGTAACACAGCAGGGGTATGAAAATGGGTATCTATTAATGAAAGAAATCTACAGTTTATTCTGAAGTACATGAAAAAACACTGTTAGCTGGACAAAACACATAATAACCAGAAGCTGTGCAGTTCAACAGTCTTTGAGTGGTTGTAGAATAAAATTTACTCACAGTTAATTTTAAGAAGTCAGCCACTGCAGACCTCAATTAAAGGAAGGCGCCTGGGGATTTGCAACAGTGAATCAAAACTTTGATTCTTCTGGTTGCCAATAGTGGTCCAGACCCAGAAGCCTCTGAGAAAGGAGCAACAATTTTTTTAATGAACAGCAGTTGGCTCAAAGTTCTTGGCCTAAGTTCTAAAGCATGAGGCTTCCATCCCCCATGACCCTTCCCTATCGTCTATTTTAACTATGGGTAACTTCATTATCCTTATTTAAAACCTGGCTCAGTGATAGTCTGTCATGGGGAATTCCACTGGCTAAACACAGATGCCACAAAGAAACATGCACATTATAAAAACCACCACGTAGGTTTAGGTTTGCAAACTTATTGGTACCCCCAGAGTTCTACACTAAGTTGGTTATGTTGTCTCACGCCACCACTATTGTATTTTCTTTGCAAATAGGATTCTTTGTATACAAGCTATTAAAATCACCTATATGATTTTCTTCACCATATGCTTGTGTTTTAATATGTATTTTTACATAGACTGAAGGCAACCAAATAGTAGGTCAGGTTGTCACAAAAAAAAAATCACAGAAGCAGCTTACATTTATCTATTTAAACAGCCAGAGATAACACAGACATGGTCCACAGTCCAGGAAATACCAAATGAAAAACGTTCCTGCAAACATATGGGTTGGGGTGGGGGGAAAAGGGGTAGGGAAACAACATTGCTAGAGGGAGTGAGTTTCACAGCTGGAGTATCTCAAATAATCATCCTCCTCCATTCAGCTCACCCTTCCCTCTCCACGTTTAGACCCCACTGCTCCTCTGCACACGCCTGCACCAAAAGTACGCCGGCTGTCTTGAAAATATTAGGCTAAAACACATCTGATAAAAGTCAGATGTTGCTCAGTGGAGTAGTTACTGTGGTGGGTTTTTTTGAAAAAAAAACCCAGTAAATTAAATGTTAATTTTAGTCGTGTTTGTGTTTATTTCACAGGCGAGAAACCTTACCCATTTCCTCCATGTTTAACATTTCCCACCATACCATAGCCACAACCTGCTCCCCCACTTAGGAACTGTTCTCTAGTTCATACAAGTCCATAGGAGTAGATGGACACAGCTGGGAGTACTGGGAGAGCTGGATGGCATCACCACGAGGCTGCTCTTTATTGTCTGAAAGGTTGTGAAGCCTGGGGAGGTTCCCCAATGATTTCAGAAAGGTAATTCTTACAGCAAAGGAAAAATCACAGAGCAAGGCTTCTTGGAAGCCCTCCAACCTGATATGTCTATGCTTTCCATCTAACTTTGAAGCCTCCTTAAGAAACAGGTATTGCCTCCCCATACAAGTTCTAAAACTGCAAAAATTCTCTCTCTTTTTCTTACCTTCAACGTTATTCTAGGACCTTGTTCTGGCATATCATTCCCTAATCCTTCCAAAATGATACATCTGTAACTGGAGTCATGCCGAGGTCTTTGACATGCTACTGTTTGGGGGTGAACAAAATTAGAGAAATCTGAAGTTAAAACACTGAAACTGAGAAACAGATGAAGAGATGGGCATCAAGACAATGCTGGAGATAAAGGAAAGCTAAGCTTCTGTTCCATGGCACAGACAAATTTACTGTTCCATTGTTTACATATGCATTACATATTTACATAAATCTGCTTTTTTTATTACTTTAATCTAATGGAAGTTATTTTCCTTTGTCTCTACTGTCCATGACCAGAGAATTACATTTCTCTTGAATATAACCTACAATTATATTGCTGTAATTGAAAGCGTTTGAACAGTTGTACTGGTTAACAGTTTAAATGAAATGTTACAAGACTAAATGCAGCAAAAGCAACCAAACACTAATAAAAACATTAAAAATTGCAACAATGACATATTAGAATAAAGGGCCCTGGCACGTTATTTGAAATTGTCACTTTAACCCTCAGAAAAAACCTGTTGACAATTAAAAATATGCATGGAATGCTGTTCCAGCACACTCAAAGTAATGATCTAGGTTGGAAAACCAGCACTGGGAAAGAGGAAAGCAAGAAAAATGGGATCTATAGCAGCACACTAACAGATAAAATGACAATTACTTGGGACTGACAAAAGTATAAAGATTTTACACAAGCTAATGTTTTTGATGCATGAAAGTGCAGAAAAATAATAAAATAATTTCTGAAATTAGACTTTGGCATATGAACACAGCTAAGAAGCACAAATGCCTTTTTTCTGTATGCTATATGTATTTCTAATCCTTTTTCAGGGATTAAACTACCACTAGCAAGTGGTAGTTTATCCAAATTTCATGATCACATCTATAACAACATAATTATTGTCATTATTTTCGTTCTCACATATATGAGGTTCTCCTTACTCCACCACTCATTTAATTGCACTCCGATTCTGAAGGCAGAACAGAGACTTTTTTCTAATCTTCAAGAAATGTAACTCAATCCTCACCAATATACAAATACCATATTGGGCTTGGTATTGATGAATGGATTTCAAACTCAAAAAATACACCCATTGAAAAGAAGGGATAATAATAAAAAAAACCCAAACAGTAAATAATTTCTAGACTCCAATGTACTTTCTGGGATCTAACCAAACCACAGGCAGCACAGAAGGGTGTAGATACAGCAGATCTAAAAAGGAGAACAAATGATATCACAACAGCATGATGTCACCACATTACCAGCATCTTTCAACCTTCAGATTTATGCGAGAAACAGTTACCATACCCAGTTTCCACTTTGCCTACTTGTAGCAACCTAGAGGACTGCAGATTTCAGCCACTGTTCAAGTAAATATGAAACAGGTCAAGAGCTTTTCATCAGGATGTCCCAACTCCAATACGGTATTACAGATTCTATTAGACAAGTCTCTCTCAACCTCTCAAAAAAATCAATTTAACACCCCCAAAAAGACTAGTATTTACATCTGAAGCCGACTCAGATGTTCTTAAAATGTAAGTTCCTTAAAACTTTTAACGCATCCACAACAATGGGCAAAAAAATCAATTTAACACCCCCAAAAAGATTAGTATTTACATCTGAAGCTGACTCAGATGTTCTTAAAATGTTAAGTTCCTTAAAACTTTTCACGCACCCACAACAATGGAGTCTAAACACAAAAGGCACTAAATACACAAAAAAAAAAAATAAAAGTGATGTTTCATGTATTTGGAAGTCAGTGAATGAAAACCTATTGTCCTCAGTATCCCAGAGAGCTTGACAACACAAAAGGCACTAAATACACAAAAAAAAATTAAAAGTGATGTTTCGTGTATTTGAAAGTCAGTAAATGAAAACCTATTGTCCTCAGTATCCTGGAGAGCTTGACTATTAAGACAGATATTGTAGAAACTCTGAAGCATGCAACAGCACAGATTTTTGCACTACTAAAAGCTGCTTATTATTGCATAATATCAGACCATGCTGAATATTCATATATTCATCCATTCAAATAAGTATACAAGACAGATATTGTAGAAACTCTGAAGCATGAAACAGCATAGATTTTTGCTCTACTAAAAGCTACTTACTTAAAAGTAACTTCCAGTTACACGCTGAATATTCATATATTCATCCATTCAAATAAGTATACGAGAAAATCCTGGAGGCAATTGGCATTGCCATATATTTTGTATGTGCTACATATTCTTCCAACCTCCAGTAAACCTGTAACTATAAAAAGTTGCAGAAAAAGTACTATGTCATTATCTACTGAAAAACGCAGGATAAAGATATGAAATCATACCTACTTGCTTACCTTTGTGCTTCCAAATAAGAGTGCAGCACCATTCAGTCTTCACATTTAAGGAACACAAGTATTTAGGTCTTTTGGAGATACAAGTTTCATGAAGAATAAAATATTTCACAATCCTTTTTTTTCCCCAATACTTATTGTTGTTTGTAATTCTGTCTGCCACATGCACTGAAGGGTATGTTCACGCTGACCAACCTTCAGATATATTTAAATTAATCCATGGCAGAATTCATAAACATATCAAATCCATAAACATGAAAGAAAAATCTCATTAGAAGCTATCTTCCATTGTGTTAGTGTCAACAGGTGATTTCAAGTTAGGGTAGAAAACTGCCTACTAATCAGAGCACAGAAGAACATTTATTTTCATTTTACAGTAACAAGCTTGTGGTCGATCTTTTCAAATGGTTCCACAACTGCAACTTTGTTCAAATTTTAAACTGAATATAAAATCAATGAAGACGATGAATACAGAGACATGAACTGTTCTTAAAAATGTCTTCTGACAGCAAGTTTCTTAGGAACGGGAAGCAACACACTTCAATTATCAGAGGAGGCAGTGAAGTATCCATATCATCACTCACTCCTGTTATCTGGGCAACAGATAAATAGGGGTTTGCTTTCTTTAAAGAGAATTATGGTTACAGATTTCTTGTGTAGTGTTTAGAGATAATTTTTAAGTCCTTTTAAAAAGATTGGTAAGTTAGAATACAGTTTTCTATAAGCAGAATGATGCCCAAAGTATTCTGATGAACTTTTATTATTAAAAATAATCTTCCTACAGTAGTATGGAACTCTTTAGCCAAGTCAAGCCACCACCTGTTGCACAGCCTTCTTCACTAACACCATAAATTTGATCTTTTCTGGTCCTCTAGTGATCTGCACTATTGGCTGGTAATCGCTCTGCTTATGAACAAAAAAGCAATTTTGAAGCAGTCAAGACAGCTTTACTAGAAAGGAAGTCACCTTCCCTTCAATGAGATCCACTTTTTTCTAAGCCTTGGCAGATGGATATGATTCCATGCACAGTCGTTAGATCCAGAAACTCCTCAGTAAGAGAACCAAAAGTTGCTGAATGACACATAACAAGTACAAGTTGTGATGTTCTGCATGCACTTCACTTTCTAAGACTTTCTGTGCTGCTTCCTTTACCCAAGGGAATGGGTTCAAGATGCGTGATGTCTGGGCCCCAGCTATGCTTGTATCTGCTGGATGTTATTATCTTCTGGAGATTTATGTTCAACTTCAAATCAAATGCAAGTTTCACACTCTAAGTAGGGATGCCCGCAAGCATATTGTTCTTTGGAGAACAACTCTCTGGCTCCATAGATGTAACTTGGACAGAGTAGTTGTGTTCTTCTGCAGCCCATGCCCGATCCAGATCCACAAGCCCCATACATTGCTTTCCTAAAACGAGAGCAAAGGAAAGCATGGAAACTCTAAAAATGTAGAAACATTATCAGAAACATGCACTTCGACATACAACGTTAGGAAAACACATCAGTAAGTCATCTAAAAAATAAGGTCCAAATCTACTTAGAAAACTATCTTGATCTGTTTTTCTTCAAATAGACAGTCGTTAATAGTTCAAAATCACATCTGTGACTTGTAACCCTCATTTAGCAAAGAGCTTGAGAAGGATTATTAACTCTTTACATATGGAGAAACATAAGAGGCACAACTATTTTTAAATATTCTCAAAACTCACACAAAAATCCATGCATAAATGTAAAAGCCACAGGAAGAAAAAAAATGCCTGTTTACCCTTTAGCTCTCTGAATGTAGATATACAGCCATATATAAACAGTTATAACCATAACTGTTTTACTCCTGTACTTTCAACTAAAACCTGAAAAATCTTTGGTTATTGAATACCAATAAAAGACTAAAATACCACACTAGTGTAATTGATTTGAGGTATACGAATGTAGCTGCTTATAAACAAAAGTACTGTATTGCTAATGAAAACTAATCTCTGAAAAAATGGGAGGGATAAGCTCAAGGATTTTTTCTGCTTTAAAATTTGTATTATGATACAGCCATGGCAAGATGACAGGGACATTTCTCTTTACAAATTACTCATTATAATTCATTATTATGTTCTGAAATCAGAATTGATTTGATCACATTTTCAGCAGTTTGAAATTCTCTTGCAAGAAAGATTTAGCACTTCCCTGAAACGTTTTATCACTAACATGCGGTCTCAAGTCACAAACAAGGCCCAATCCTGCTTCAGTGTCAAAGCCAATGATCCTACATCTTTCCTTGTTCCTGACAGAACTGTAGAGTTAAATATATTTGAGGTCTGAGAGGACACCAAGTTGGGAGGGAGTGTTGATCTGCCTGAGGGTAGGAAGGCTCTACAGAGGCATCTGGACAAGCTGGATCAATGAGCCAAGGCCAGTGGTATGAGGTTCAACAAGGCCAAGTGCTGGGTCCTGCACCTGGGTCACAACAACCCCAGGCAGCGCTACAGGCCAGGGGCAGAGTGGCTGGAGCTGCCTGGCAGAAAAGGACCTGGGGGTGTTGGTCGACTGTTGGCTGAACATGAGCCAGCAGTGTGCCCAGGTGGCCAAGAAGGTCATTAGCATCCTAGATTCAGAATCAGAACTATCAGAAATAGTGCAGCCAGCAGGACTAGGGAAGTGGTCTTCCCCCTGTACTAGTGAGGCCCCACCTCAAACACTGTGTTCCATTTTGGGTCCCCCACTACAAGAAAGACACTGATTTCTGCAGCCTGTCCAAAGAAGGGCAACAAAGCTGGTGAAGGGTCTAGAGCACAACTGTTATTAGGGGTGGCTGAGGGAGCTGGGGTTGTTTCGCCTGGGGAAAAAAAGGCTAAAGGGAGACTCTCACTCTCTACAACTACCTGAAAGGAGGTCGTAATGAGGGAAGGGCTGGTCTCTTCACCCAAGTAACAAATGACAGGACAAGAGGAACTGGCTTCAAGTTGCACCAGGGGAGGTTTAGATGGGACAGCAAGAAAACTTCTTCACTAAAAGGGTTGTCAAGCATTGGAACAGGCTTCCCAAGGAAGTGGTTGAGTCACCATCCCTGGAGGTGTTTAAAAGAAGTGTAGATGTGGTGCTTAGGGACATGGTTTAGTGGTGGACTTGGCAGCACTGGGTTAACAGTTGGACTCAATGATCTTAAAGGTCTTTTCCAACCTAAATGACTCTGTGATTGTAGAGTCGATGAAGGGAAGAGACAAGAGCACTCATTCTGTTATCCATCAGGACACAAGGCTGGCATTCTGAACTACCCTCTGGAATGGCCTACCTCTCTCCCCAAACACATACAGAGCTTGAGTGTATCACTACAAGCCCTGGCATACATCTGCTTGGTGCCTGTAGAAGTTTTGGGTAGGTGGCACTAACATGCTTCTCAGTATCCTTCTACTTCAGGACAGCTGGTGCACATTTAATACACTTAAATACAGAACTCAGTCCAATCTGTTCTGACTTTCCACAGTGAGCCATCGGCTGGAAGTATTTTCTCCTTCTCAGCTGAATTCTTTATTTACAAAAGAAATTGACGACTTTGACTTCACTAACATTATGGCATTTGCAGTCCGTTCTGCCAGTGGCTTGGAATTTGAGAGGGGTGGTAATTGGGTAGGAGACAATTTAGAGATACAATAATAAGGTTAGGCCTGAAAAAGAACTTTCCAACTCAGTCCCCTACGGAACAGTACATTGCAGGAAGAAATTACCAGTTTATATAACCAACCAGGATACATCTCCGTAAATTACTTCTTGTGGCACTATTCTCCTACATTTATAGTTTCAGAGAAAATCACCTTCTGCAGTTCACTGAACCAAAATGGCACGTACACGGCTCCTGCCACTGACAGCAATATCATTATTACTCAAAATATACACACCAAGGGGGAGTTGGGATTGTCACAACTGGAGCCTGGTTCCCCGGGTGCTCTGAGGAAGACTCTGAAATACACGGAGTGGTTCCGTGCTCAGAGAGAATAAATCAGGTGAGCTGTAGCCACGTTCACAAAACCATTCAGTATGTTTGCACTCAGGTCCCATCGCTGCATACAGCGGATAAAGCACACGTGTTCAGAGGAAATTGGAAACAGAACTTTGTTCATTTAAGAGGAATTGCTGCGTGCAGCGGAACTGGGTTCAACTGTGCATTTTTACGTCCAGAAATTGGTGATAACTCCTTTGACAAA